AAATGGAGAAAAGATTGAAGTTGGCAAGGATTTCATTTTACTTGGATCCACAATCAACACCCATGGAAGCAGCAGTCAAGAAATCAAATGACTTATCACATTGGGCAAATCTGCTGCGAAAGACCTCTTTAAAGTGTTAAAAAACAAAGATGTCACTTTAAGGACTAAGGTGTGCCTGACCCAAGCCATGGTATTTTCAATTGCCTCATATGCTTGAGAAAGTTGGACAATGAATGAGGAAGACCGAAAAAGAATTGATGCCTTGGAATTATGGTGTTGGCGAAGAATATTGAATATACCATGGACTGCCAGAAGGATGAACAAATCTGTCTTGGAAGAAGTACATTCAGAGTGCTCCTCAGAAGTGAGGATGGCGAGACTTCGTCTCACATACTTTGGACATGTTATCAGGAGGGACCAGTCCCTGGAGAAGGACATCATGCTTGGTAAAGTAAAGGGTCAGTGAAAAAGTGGAAGATCCTCAACGAGATGGACTGACACAGTGGTTGCCAACAATGGGGTCAGACATAGCAAGGATTGTGAGGATGGCGCCGGACCAGGCAGTGTTTCTTTGTGTTGTACACTGGATGAATTTAACAACAACAAAGATAAGGAATGTACTTTTAGCTTTAATGTTTTTTAAATAAGCTGGGATGAATCATAGCCCAAGGGTGGGGACCAGACTCCTACAAAGAGCCTGACTCCAGCCCTCTGCTCAAGCCGTGGCCCGTCCAGCCCAGGAGAGTCCTCCTGGCAGACGGGGCTAAGAAGTGTGGCATCTGCTTCCTTCGGGGTGGGCTGGACTGATAAATACAGCTTCAAGCTCCTTCTCTGACTTGCTTGCAGTGTTGGGGCCCCGCAGACCAAGTCCTGTGTTCTTCCTGCATTTCCTCACAGGGAAGCCCTTGCCCTACTCGTGGGGTCCAAGCAGGGAGGGGATTAAGGCTGCGGCCTGCTCTGATGGCTCTCATCCTAGGACAGCTAGCTGGGAGGGACGGACCAGGCAGCACCTCTCAGTGCAACATGACATTAGAGATGCAGTCTTCTTGCAGGAGGTTGCTCCAGTCAGAGACTTCCAGGCTGCCCTCGGTCCCCTCACAGCTAGCTGTCTGCCTTCTTAATGTGGTGGAATAAGTTACAGAACAACTCGTACCAGAAGAACACAAGGCCTGTGGAGAGGGCCGCCTTCAACAGGCTGGGTGACAGGCCCTTGAAGAAGCCCTGGGACCCTTCCTCTTGCAGAACTTGCTTGGCGCAATCCACAAGGCCTCTGTAGCTTCGCACCTGGGGAGAGAAAGGTTACTCTGGTTGAGGAAGGAGGAAGTGATTAAAATAGGACCTGGCCAGCTCTATTTCTTTGGCAACACAGCACTAGCTCTCAATAAATATTTGCTGGATGGAGGAATGCAAAAATAAGCAGAGGGAGAATAAGTTTGCCTGATTCTTTCTCTTCCAAGTGGGTCTGTTAGACTTAACAGAGATAGTGCCTGGAAATCAGCAGCTGGACAGAGCTCCTTCCCATGGAGGCCCAGGTTGACTGTCCTTAACTGTTGGCACCTAGGACCCTGCTGACAGCTCCAGATCCTCTTCCCAGAGGGTCTGTGACTCTGGGCCCCATCCCACCCTGCCCCACATGGGCAGCAGAGCTGAATCTGGCCGCCGTTACCCTGTCCTGACCAGTGCCCCAACCTCCAGCCTGGCCTCCCTGCCTCCAGCCTCATCTTCTCTAGTGGAACACACGGTGTGCCAGACTCAAAGCCCCCAGGCAAAGCCCGCTGATGCCTTGCTCCCCTCCAAATCCAGTAACTTCCAGCGAAAAGGACGGCAACATCATTAAGAACCAAGTCCAGGCGCCACAGCCTGGCGTTCAAAATGTTTCAGCGTCTGGCCTCGACCTGCTGACCTTATCTCCCACGTGAGCCTCCCACCCCCGGCCAAACCGGATCACACTGGTCTCCCTCTGGAGCAAGGCCTCCCTCCTCGGTCCTGGCTCCCATAGTCTCCCCCGGCTGAATTCAAACTGTCGCCTTCAGGACAAAGTCGTGAACAGAAAAGGGAGCTTACAAAACCTCGTCTATAGTACAATCCCATTTTTGTTAAAAAATGTACACACGTTTATGCATAAAACTACACCAAAAGGTTCTGTGTGACGATCTCTGAGTAGTAGTGGGGTTACAGGTGATGCTGGTCTTTCTTTTTGTCTATATGAATTTTGTAAATCTTTCTACAAAGAAAATGCATTACTTGTAAAAAGTATTTACAACTATAAACCCAGTTCTTTCTCCTCTCCAGGTCAGGCGCGCTCTGTCCCTCCGCTGCCTCCCATTAGTCCCACGCTGTCCTCTTACGGCACGTGGCAGGTGTGCAGGTGTGTGCTTTCATGCCTCCACCCTGTATCTCAGGTTCCAAGGGGAAAGCCCCTTCCCTGCCCGCCCTGCATCCTCCCCACTGCTACAGATACCACTGTGGCCTTTTATAAAATTGGGGCCCCGAGAGGAGCAGATGTAAATCCAGTTTGTGAAAATCTGAACGGACTGGGGAGCACATAGTAACAGTACAAAACTACCTACCATGGGGTTTCTCTGAATGGCAAACCTTTCTAGTACATTTAAAATACAAATGCTCAAATGTAATTAATTTACCCCTTCCCAGGAACATGTGTAACACGCAGCGAAGAACTCCATGCACGGCTATTGGGTCTTTTTCTCCATGTTCTTTGGTATTTTGGGGATCTTTGTAATGTGAGTATATTCTACATATTCTATGACCCAAATGGGGCTGGATGCTTTTTAAGAGCAGAGACTGGGAACCTCCTTCCCCCGGCTCTTTCCACAGCATCTAATGAACACAGGGCTGCATGAGGCTTTCCCATGTGCTTGGGGGCCCCCAGGGACAGGCTGCGGTGGTTAATGCTGCCCGACTGAGCAGGAGCTGACGCTCAGCTCCTTCATGTGCCCTATGGGAAACAACGATCAGAGCTGTCTGCAGGGCCCGGCTCACCTGGCCAAACGTAACTCGGGCCTGCTCAAACCCTCCAACCTGCAGCCGTTTCTTGAAGAGGTCCAGAGGGTACGTAAGGGTCTTGCTGATGACTCCGGCTCCACTGCCGCAAAGCAGGTTTTTGAGGTTCCCTGAACCAAAGAAGTGGGGTTGGGGGCAGAAATGTTAGAATGGAAAATTTGTCCCTGACAGACAAGAGGCCATCAGGTCTAACTCTCCAGCACAAAACAAAACCTCCCAAGCATCCTTTGATCTCAAAGAGGAATTTCATCTAGAAGAGAACCGGATCTGTTGCTGCTGAGTTGATTCTGACTCATAGTGACCCTACAGGACAGAGTAGAGCTGCCCCATAGGGTTTCCAAGGCTGTAAATCTTTCCAGAAACAGACTGCCACATCTTTCTCCTGTGGAGCAGCTGGTGGGTTCAAACCACCGACCTTTCGGCTAGCAGCACTTTAACCACTGTGCCACCAGGGCTCCTCTAGAAGCTCTGCCCATAGCCTTGCAGAGGGACTTGTGGTGTGCCGTCGAGCCAGTTCTGACTGATAGCGACCCTACAGAACAGAGTAGAACTGCCCCGTAGGGTTTCCAAGGCTATAATCTTTACAGAGGCAGACTGCCACATCTTTCTCCGTGGAGCAGCTGGTGGGTTTGAACCACCAGCCTCTCGGTTAGCAGCTGAGTGCTTAACCACTGCAAAGAGAGCCAGACACACACAAAAATGATGATGGGCTGCAGACGGGACTGCTGGTGGCAGGAAGGGTGGAGCCTTTTCACAGCGATCTCCCTTGTTGGAGGCAATTAGGGACTCCAGCTCAAGGCTGGCGAGGAACAGGATGCCCAGCCCCCTCCCCATCCGCCCAAAGGAAAAAATAAAATAAAATAAAATAAAAACAAGCATTTTGCAAGTTGGCCCCCTGACAAAAATTAAAACCATGACCAATGGCTGGAAATAAATGCTGGAGATGCCAGTGAGGGGTGTGGCTAGGGCTGGGAAACCAAGGCATTGGCAAGCTGCGGGATTGGTTTGTTCATCTGGCCGCATTACAGACCCAGATACAGGGAACAGTGGTGTCTTACCTCCTGAGAGGAAAATTGATCTCCTACATGATTCAGAGGCGATGTCAGGGCTTGGGGGTGGGGGCGGGGGTGTGTGGCTACAGAGTCCCTTTCATCCGGGGCTGCCTCACCATTTGTCTTTCCTTCGGCTGGCATGGCCCACTCATATGCTTGCTTCAAGGAGCTGTAAAAGGAGAACTGGAAGCCGGCGTAGGGGAAGATGGCAATCAAGGTGGGGCTCAAGCCCTTGTAGAAGACTAAGGGGCCTTCAGTCCTGTACATGGTCACCACGGCGTCACGGAGGGTTTTATAGACCTGGACAGGCACACACACGACTTGAGCGAGCATGGCGCAGGGTCTGAGCCCAGACCAGGCCCACTACGTGTCTAAAAGCCAGCTAACGGGAACATTACTTCTCCTCCCAATAAGGCAGTCAAAGAAAATGCTGGATGGAAGTTCAAAGGGTGGGATTTACATGACAGATATACCCACATGTATGCATAGAAGTATGTGTCCAAAGATGGCCACTTTGGATGCACTGCTTATGTGGGGGTGACTGGTTACATAAATCACGGTATGCCCACTTAAAAGAACATAGTGTGGCTGTTAAAACAGGACGGTGTAATCTATATCACTGATACACAGTAATCCCCAAAATATGTAATTAAACGGAAAAAGCAAGATGCAGAAGAGTGGGCACAGTGCTTGCGGAAGAAACACACAGCGC